TAATTATAAGCAATGATGAAAAAAGTTAAAAAATCTTATATTTTTTAATATACTATTATATATTTATGTATATTAATATTTGTTGATACTTCATACTTGTATTTTTCTATAATTATATTACTGTAATGTTAATAAACAGTCAAGAAATATATTTCTTTTACAAAGCCATTTATTGTGTGTTGCTTTTCTAAAATTAAAAGATACAGATCAAATATACAAAAACAATAGATTATTGCGATAAAGTTATTTAGTTTATTATAATTCTTATATTAGTAATAACTTTAATTTTGTTTTTACAATTTGTTCTAATTATTTTTCTTCAGATTAACAAATTTTGGATTTCTGTTGACGTATTGATGCATTGATGTCTTCTTCGCAATTGGAATATGCCATACCTAATCCAAAGCTACCTCCAATTATAATGGGCCACTTTTTTCCTATAAAGAAAATTTAATTTACTTATGTATCCATGTTTTATAATTGAAAAAGGAATTTGACAACAGGCAGTATATGATTCCTTCAAATTTCTTTTCATAAATTATTTTTAAATTTAAGTATTGATTGCGTTTAGAAGAAAAAGCAACTTACAGCATTATAAGATTTTTTTAATATGGTTAATTATATTTAGATCCAATGAGGAATTAGGAGCAAGACTAATTATATTAAAATGTTTTATAACAGAGTTGTAAAGCTGCTTTTTATGCTGAATACAGCTATTAACTTATGATCAAGTATATCACTGTTATTTATCACTCATTATAACATACATTATAACATACATTAAAGTAGCACTAATCCCATCTGTAAAGTTATTCTCTTGATGGAAAATAAAAATATAATACAAATAAAAGAAACTATAATACAAGTAAAAGAAACTGTACTTCCATTTAAAATCAGAGAGCTCAATTAATTCTTTTTAACTGGATACTCTTTGCTTAAAAAATGATTACACAAATAGTGAATTGACACAATTGATTAATTGTTGAGACTTAAATATAGAGATATACAGTTATATAACTTTCAAGTTACATGACGTCATAAATGATTAATGTTTCTACAATAAAGCACACATGTGATTAAAGACTAATCTATAACATACTTTATATCCTGTTTCTTGCTTTTTACCTCTTGCCTTTTTTCTCCTCGTAAATTTATTAACAATCATGTTTTATGTCTTTTCCAAAGTTGATCGACTTTTCTCTCAAACAACAAAAAAAAACGAAGAAATAGAATAGGAGACAAAAAGATAAGAAAGAAGCGAGAAACAGAGAGAGCATTATAGACTAAGTTTAAAATGCATGCAATTAATGTCAGTAGGATTAAATTTAGGTGTGAATCCCTGAATGTATGTTGCCATTGACTCCGACAATTATAATAACAAATACAGTCATTATGTCATAGGAGTGATGCATCTTACTTTTGAAGAAAAATAGAGAAAACACTCCACCGAGGATCACGCCACCGCCTGAAAAAAAGAGATCTGTCAGTAACGTAATAAAAAGTAATATCCGTCATCACAGACGAGTTCGATCACGATAATTACCGAACTTGAGGATGGCGTCTGTAAAGCAGCGGTCCCACTTTCGCCCGATCTCGTCCTCGGCGTCGGCCATTTTTGTGTTACAATGCCGCTTGTCGTTACGTCATTCACGTGAAACCAGACGAAACGTTCACGTGCGTCCTACAATATCAGTCATATTGATCTCCGGCGGTTTTACGCTTCTCTCGGTCTCGTTTGCACGCGCAGTCGCGTGAATTACGAACCGTCAGCGACGGAAATAACGAAAACTGGATTCTTTCCAGCCGACATATACATTTAGAAATAAATTAATTTTTATATCACGCACTGTCGCGCTATTCACGCACGTCTGCCAACTTAAGCTGATATTCAACTTTTATATTATCCATAAACTTCGTCTTTTTCCGTTTCCATATTTCTCGATTCGATTTTTCTCCTTCTATCCATCACTTTGATTCAGATAGTTCGAGAAAGAAAATATACAATTCATAAGAAAGAAAGAAAAAAATCATTTCACATCTCTCACATCTGTAACTAGAATTTGTAGTAACAAATGGAACGAACCAACTTGAAATCCGTAATTCAGATAGCTGCGATTGACTATGATTGGTCGGTCGCCACGGATGATAATTAAACGAATTAAATCTGTTTCTACCAATATACAATAATTTTAATCTCGGTTTAACTTAATTTTTATCTTTTCTTAGTTCTGAGAATAAGAGAAGGATAAACAGTAAATTAAACGAGATTAAAGTTAATCTATATTGACAGAAATGAACAATAAACATTTCTATGCTTAGTTTGTGACAAATATAGATATTTTTTATGTTTATCTCAATTATATTATTTATTATTTACGGGCAGCGTTTATTTGGCTCTCACAGCGCTGGTAAATGTCATTTTGTCCTTGTTTAATATTTGCCAAATGATAAGGACGAAAAAATGCTTAAAGCACTGCGAGCAACAAAGCGAACGCGGTCTCAAAGGCATGAATTTGCATAGTAAGTTCAGCATGACGGTAGCGGTTGGTGGGCCTGCCGGTGTCCGTAGCGACTCATTTCACTCAAGTCTCTGAACGCGAGAGGCAGGTGCGCTGGCCTGTCGTTCGCGAGACGTTTGATCGGAGATAAGGACGAGTTCACGGAGTACCGTTCGTGCGTGCGTGCGTTGTGAGATCGCGCGACGCGGACGGTTCCATATTAAAGAAAAACTCGCGAAAGCGAACGCGCGCGTCGCCGTGACAGCTGCACATCCGGCGGAACAGTGCGGAGCACTACGGGAGTATCACGACGTCGAGAGAAGGAGTGATCCGCGAAGCGCTCGTAGTCAGAGTCCGGTCAGTCCGGTGTCGTGGCGGCAGTGATAAAGAAAGAGAGAGGGCGAGAAGAAAGAAAGGAGAAATAGTGTGTGTGTGTGTGTGTGTGTGTGTGTGTGTGTGTGTGTGTGCATGCATGTGCGTGCGTACGTGTGTATGTGTGTGTGTGTGTGTATGGTATGCGAGCGTGCGTCAGAACCGATCGAGTGCGCACGCTGTTGACACGGTGCGTGGGTGCATCGTCGTGAAACGCGCGCGCGAATTTGAGGACGGCAGTAGAGTATAGGTGTGGATAACGGGGAATATGCGCCTGTGCAGCCCCTAGGGAATCTCGGTGCCTCACCGTTGCCTGTCCGGTGCGAACGGAGAGAGTCGCGTTACGAACGGACGGAGTCCAACGGAGTCGTGAGTCGCGCGCGGAGTCGAGTGGAGTCGAGTGAAGTTGCCGCCGAGTCGACAAGGAATCGGAGTAGCGTGAACTCCGCGAGGGAGCAGCGCAGCGAGAATCTCGAACTCGCTCGCTCGGAGGTAAATTCCCGCGGCGCTCCGCGCGGAGCGTAATGGAGGAGCCGACGACCGCGAAACGCGGCCACAGCAGTATTACCAGCATTATCAGTAGCATTATCGGCAGCAACAACAGGAGTAGCAGCAGCAGCAGCAATAGTAGCAGCAGCAGGAGCGGTAACGGCACAACTGTGCGCAACAACGATCATCACAACTGTCGCCGCCGCCACGGTAATGCCGTGCTGCGTCGCGTCAGCAGAGCGTGAGCCGCGCGATTCCTGTCGTCGATTGTTACGACACCCGGCAATCCCGGCATCCCGGCGGCTGCCGCCGGGCGTGAGAGACAGGTCGAAATTGCTATGGGATCATCCGGAACGACGACGCCGTACGACGCCGCAACGACCGTTCGATTCCTCGTGTTGCCGTGACGTTTGCCGACCATCGGGCTGCGCCAGGCGCGAACAAGAAGTAGGAGTGACAGCATCTCAGATACGCTTCCTCGGTGCGCCGCGACGCACCGCGCCCTTCCACGTTCGCGTCCTACGTCTTGTCGATCATACCTATCGTACCTAAACAACGCTCGGTGAGCGAAAAGGATAAGATCGTTCGCGCTTGAGAGGTTAGGCTGGCATGGAGATTGATTCCCGTGAGGTGGCATCGTCCGTCGAACTCTGACAATCAGCCAGCCAGCCACCCTCTCTCTCTCTCTCTCTCTCTCTCTCTCTCTCTCTCTCTCTCCTCTTTCTCTTTCTCCCCCCCTTCTCCCCCTTTCCCACTCTCCTGTCGCCGCCACCCGCGCGTCCTACCCTTCCGCGCCCTACAACGGTGTATACCGCGCCCGCGCGTGCCCTTTTCCGCTTGCGGAAACTGAGTGTCGCGTTGTATCCTTCGTTTCTCTTCTCGCGTCTCGTATCGCGTCGCGTCCCTTTCGTCGTCCTCGCTCTTTCCAGAGGGCAGAATAGAGAATATGCCTTGCATGGGGATCGATCCCCGTCATTGACCCAAAACTGACATCACCGCCGTCATTGTCGCCGTCGTTGTCGTCGTCGCCGTCGTCGTTGTCGACGCGAGTGTGGTGAAAAATCGTGTGCGCAGTTGGATCGTGTATCGATAATTAAATCATCGCAACCGTGGATAACAACGGCCGGTACGAGATGCAGAAGCGGGACGGCAGGGATAATCGTGGCGACAAGGAGCTCGGAGCGCGCGGCTCCGAGCGCGACCAGGAGGTCGCCAAACGGACCTCCAGGGGTAGCGGTAATGCCGCCCGGTCGAACGTGCACTCGTCCCGGCACAGCGTCACCTCATCGTCCGGCGTGCTCATGGTCGGCCCGAACTTCCGGGTTGGCAAGAAAATTGGCTGTGGAAACTTCGGGGAGCTTCGTCTCGGTGAGTTCCTTCCTCGCGTTATTGAATTAGTTTTTTTTCCATAAAAAAAGAAATGAGCGAAACCTACTCTCTTTCCGAGAAGCAAAAGGAAATATTTACGTTGCAAACGTAATATTCTATTATCGTCTCGTTCGAATATCCGCCTTGAAACAGCGTTTTCTGTACGCGGAATGTTCCATCGAGACGTTAATCTTAATGGCAGGTTTCCTGATAAAATTATGATCGATTTTTCCTCAGCGAAGACGTCGAGATACCGATAGTTGTCGAGAGCAATTGCGAGAGGACTTTCCGCAAACTATGTTTCAGCGGAATGAATAAATAACGGAATCTCATCTCTTATGCTTTTTAAAATAAACTCCAACATAATTTTAATTGATCAATTTTAATACTTTAAGATTCGATTGCAATGTTATTTTGACTAGTTTTGATTTTAAGCGATATTTAAAACTTTTTTTCTTTAAAGCTGAGAGAAAGACAGAGAGGAGAGTTTTAAGCCTCGCTTAAAATTAAAGTAATGTTGGTGCAATCGGACTTAAATTACAAAGATATGTAATGTCGAAAAGTGGAAAGTAAACGATAACCTTCCTCGACATTTTCGCGAAGAGAAAAAAATCGACTCCAAATTAGGGCATTCTGCCATTATAATTAAAGTCATGAGAATTGCGGAATGTTTCGTATATTTATTTATGCACATAAAAATGTATGAAAATTCAAAAATAAGTTTAGACAAATGAACGAAACTCATTCTCAAACGAATGATTCAGTTGATTTTGTAATATAGCAGTATGATTCGCCTACGTCAAACATTTTTTCTTAAAATATTTTTATCACATAGTCTCTTTCGTATTTTTATACCTACATTAAATTAATTCTTGTCTCGTAAAAATGGCATCGTAATAAAATCAACGCTGATTTGAGAGAAGCACCATGAAATTAAATGGACGAATAAAAATAATTTTTCGCTAGAATTTCTAGCGAAAAATTATTTTTATTCCTCCATTTCATAAATTATTTGTCTATGACAAATTTATGTATAAAGCATATTTTATGAATCAAGAAAGTTTTGAAATACTTATCACTTTATTTATATGAAGTATATATAAAATGAATTAAAAAGATGTTTTAAACTTTTAATATTTATTTATTGAATTTATCTATAAAGTGGTATATGTAATGGTTTCAATTCATACATGGTACAAATTCATTAAAATCGAAAATAAGATAAAACGCTGTGTCGAGAAAAGATTTCGGAACAATGCCAGGAGTGATGTAGGGCACACAAACTTTTTTCATATTTTTACAAGGTGAAAAACGAGCGAAATGACACATTAGATCTTCGTCACGTGGTCAGCATTCACCGTTAGCCGTGAATTGAATTATTGTTTACCAAGATATTGCAATCTTCATTCTCGTGTGTAACAGTGGTGAAATTAGAAGTTATCAGCCCCTCGAGAGAGCTCGCGGCGTTTGTATGATTAATGACGTCTGCCGAGTGTTGAAAACAATGATTCTAACATTGGGAGAGGCTAACGCTCTCCCGATTACGGAATGGCATAATACACGGTTCCACATACTGACATTACTATGTAGACTGGAAGCCTGTAAATATTGATGTTCCTCCCACAAAGCGCCATCGTATTCTTCTAATAATTATTTATCACAAATAGTAGGAATTATTTTTATCCCCTTTGAATTATAAAACTAAACGTTCGATTTTCAACTAAAAATATATGATGGTTTGAAAAACTTTGAGAAGCTTATGCACTATAATTATTAACCGCAAACAATACAAATTATTTTTTATTCTCTTTGAAAACGTTCGATTTTCAACTAAAAACGTGCTTTCTTTTCATTTGGAGTTTCGATTTTTTTTTAAATATAATTTTTTAAATTAAAATTAGCATAGCGAAACGGTCATATTTTACGGAATTAGTTCTACGATGTCTGTTTAAATTGAAAATTTATTGATAAAAGAAAACCTGTTCCACGTTCTTTCGGTATTGAAGGATACCTCCTCAACTGACGCGTTTCTTAGACTCGAGTTTCTCAACAGAGAAATCTTTTGCCGAGCTGACGAAATATCAGGCGGGCTGACACAGCGAAACGGCTTTGCAGCTTTGATGCGCTTGGAGCAACATCTTGGTAGCGTTTCATCGCGCGCGAGCGATGCTCATGGAAACATTGCGTTTTCCAACATAATGACCGCGGTTGTTACTGCAAAAGCGTTCATGCGGAAAATCCTACAGCGCTCGGCTCATTGCGCGGTTTATACGAGTTATGATTTTGCTAACGCGTTATTACCCATTCGTAATGATGACTTTGTTAGTAATAGTCGCAGTTAACAGCTCGTTCGATGTCATCTCGTTATTATATCACTCGCAACAAGTTAATAATTAGCTTTCATCAGTTGCTAATATCAGAGATTGTATATTTAAAAAGATAGATAAACTTATCTCGTGAAGGGTATATTTTCCTAGAAGAGAAACAGATAGAGAGAGGAAGGGAGAAGGAGTATATGGAACAAAAAGATCAAAAGAGAACATAAATTTTTCTCCATGAAATATTTATCCGGAATGAACACGGAGAATAAATGTAGAAGAGAGATAATCTTCTTCGACAAGGCCCCAGGGCCAACGAAAGAATTTCCAGAAATCGCTCTTGCGTGATTCATCTTTGAATACTCAGTCTTGTGGGTGAATATGCGGTTCTATCACCGGCTGACTTCTTGAAATGCCTGCCATGACGCGAGACCGCAGTTTGTTCGAAAAATATTTAAGGTTTACTGGACGTTTCTGCGTTAAAAGCGATACTTGTGAAGTATATCGCGTTATCTTTCCTCGAATAAACAAGTCACGCTGAGATACGGAAAAGCGAAATTTAGCGCAGTATGTATAACTTGATTTTAATTTTAATATCAGATTCAATTCGTCAGAAGTAATGCAGAAAAAAATAGTGTTCGATTGAATTGTTGCTGGGAAAAAAATTACATTTATCAAAAAATCTGTTGCAAGAAATAGAAACGATTGTATATTTTGAAACGAGTGAAAATTATAAGAGTAAATTTACTAGCATATTTATAACTTTATTGGTGAATACCTAATCAGTTCATTTTTGTAATTTTCACTTCGTTTCAAGATGCACATCCCCCAATTGTTGATATATATTCCATATGCTATTGGTGTATTATAGCAAATAAAGCACAAAAACCGCTCGCGTTTGGTAAATTTAATGACACTTGAATATGCCATTGATAACGACATGAGTCATCGACAATTAAATTGTTTTACAGTGTTGCACCGCTTTTATGCTTGCATTGGTATATCGTGACGACGTTACTCTTCTTTTTTCTTCTATCCACGTTCATTAGTCGAAAATATTGAAACATTAAGTACTCTCAAAACAAATGATTCATATATTAGTATTTTCTGTTATATTTTCCTGCTCTTAAAAATTGTTGTATTCAATACACATAGATATGTAGGAAATTATTATGTAGGAATTACACTAAAAAAAGAAGTTTTTAAAGAAACATTTTAACATAACATTTAAAGATACGTTTGAACTTTTTTCAATAAATAAAGCACTAACTGTGTTTAGATTTAAAACATGTAGCGTTTTGTTTATTGAAAAAGTTTAAAACATTTTTATAAAACGGAGACAACAAATATTTTAATATTTTAAAATTAAACACTTCTTTTTACAGTATAATAGTTATTATATCGATAATTAATATCATTTAACAATTATATCAAGTTACATTTCACTTTGTTTCTTTCCTCTTCATCCCAAAATACACTGAGAAAAATGTTTTGATGAAACCAAGAAAAAGACTCAACCAGAATGGCATTTTAGTCAAACACAATCAAAAATTCTATTTGGCTTCATAAAAATACCATTCTGGATGGATCTTCTTTTTATTGGTTTAATCAGAACATTTTTTTTCTGTGCAGTTATTTCATTTTGAACGTAAAAATGTCCAAAAGGACGTGAATTAGATGAATAGGTTTGTTTGGGATTCCTCCTAACAAATGAGCGATGACAACGATGCACTTGTCGAATAACACTCGACACCGGAATGAATCCGAGCCCTTCATTGACTTGACTGGTTGTCCCGGCCGCGCAATGAGGGACACGCGTGTCGTTAATATCGTTATGCAGGCGTTATCAGTTTATCACCTCGTGCTTGTCTTGCTTGCTCGAGGGTTATAAACGCGTTTACCAGCGGCAATTCACTCGTCGCGCGCATCGAGTACGAAATCCGAATGAAAATTGTCAGTAAATTGCTTTCCGGTCTGCTGATACATCGCTTCAAATCTGGAATCGTATATACACCTTAATGACCCAATTTCATAACTCGGCCCCATCTCGGCCCAGATTTTTGTAAGTTATACACATGTACATGCATACTGCACGCGATCGTTGCCTTACATTTAAACAAACAAGTTAATAAACAAGTAAATAAACAGGTTCTTTGAACAATAATGAAAAGCAATGTTCTTTCTATGAGAAAAAGATTATTCGATATATGAATCTTGATTTATATGTTAATTTCTTAGACTGTTATTTCACTCGCAGTCTCTACTGATTGCATTCCGATTAATTAGAAAAGAGTCAAGATATCGCGTGATGGAAATGAAACACTCTGGACTGATAAAGATATTCTGATTGTATCAACAAGAAGAACAAACAAAACGAATTCTGATTTTATATAAATTATATATAAATTCTCGTTATTATAATTGAATTTCTGCATTGAAAAGAAACTTACTAAATCTTAATACATATTTCTTCTGAATAGTACTAAAATAAAAATTTACTTATAATAAAGAAATATTTTTTTTCGACAAAAAATGTTAAAATATAATAGTTGTGTGATTATCCTGACTAAAATGTTTGATAGATTTAACTAATAAATTTATAAATGTCTAATTTGTATATATCTTTCTGGTTAACTCTATCAGAATTCCAATTAATGCGATAAGACCTTTTTCCAATGTGTA